ATCTTTTAAGAGTAGAGATATATCTAGGAAAATGCTAATTATAGATTTCATGAATTAATCCTAGTCGAATTCGAATTCTTTCATATAGTGTATTTTATATTTTTAATAGTTTGGATTTATTTTACTTTAACATACACCATTGGATTAATTTTCCGACTGAGCTTATTTTACTGAGATCATGAATAAACTTAGACAAACATTAAGAATCAGGTAGCCACAAGGGAATGTTTCGTCTAAATATGGGACTCCTCGGAAATGTTTATCAACAACACCGCCAAGGACTGAACCTAGAAATGTGAGGTTTCACGTTGAGTGCTTGAAATTTATATAACCAAACTAGCATAATCATCGTCGACCCAGACCGCTGAGGAGTTCTATGTCAGAATTAAGCATCTGTTCATTGTTTCCTGGTTTGCAATGATTTCCTAACTTAGATCGGTTTATAATCGCAATTATATTCAAAAATCTCCACAAATCTTCCGTATTGACATAGCCTAGTTTACATTTTACTGATACGACGGAATTTAAATCTTCTATTATTATTAGCTTTATTCAATATCATATTTTTAGTACATAACAGAATTCTCAGCACAAATTATTTCAAAACGTTTCCTTTTCTTATTTCTTGATCAATCCTTGCGATAAATATTGAGTGGCCGGCATTTAGTTGTTACCAGTACAGGGCTTGATATATTGGATGCATATAGCCAGCAACTACGATGTATCTGATTGGGCTGTTTTGTAACTTGTACAGCGAAATGTAGCAAGCTTTTCACAAACCCACCTGAATAGGTTATGATACTAATATACATAATGATGTGTTAAAACAAACAAGCAAAACGATACCTTGTTGAACTGTCTAGATGTCAGGAACAGGTAACCCAGATATTCAAACAGCCTTCCTCTATCCTAGTTAATCATGTTACATCAATTAAATTACACACAAAATAACGACATTTCGCTTTCATATAAACAAATCACTGGTCATTAGAATGATCTATAAAAAGGGAAAAACAGATTTATCTGAAATAGAACTAAAGAACAACATTCACCAAAAGAAAAAAATGTTTCTATCTAGCGATCAATATAATTTTAGAATTTAAGATTTTCTTTCCACCGAGTGATTTTAAACAAAAAAAAATTAAGCTTTTTCAGATTTTAAATTTTATTTGCGAAATTCAACTTCATTTAAATAGTTACCAAGGAAAAAAAATACTGTTTTGAAAATTTTTGTTTCTCTCTATTACTATCTTTTCTTATCAAGATTGCATATCTTGATACTACGGTAACAATGAATGTCTAGTTGGGTTTTTATTTTTACGAACGTTTACTAAGATCTTAATTTTCATCTGTAGACAAACAAAATATTTCCTTGAGTTCTAGTGGGAAGCAGTGATCAGTGGAATTCCACTAAGTCTGTTGTAGAGATATCAACTCACTGAAGACAATTGGTGAACGGTTGCTCAAAATCGTGGATTGGTTGAAGTTAGACATCAACATCGTTGGATGCCGGCTCAGTGGTCTATCGGTTAAGTGATCTGACGCGAGACTGGTAGGTCCTGCGTTCGAATCTCGCGAGGCGGGATCGTGGATGCTCACTGCTGAGGAGTCCCATAATAGGACGAAACGGCCATCCAGTGCTTCCAGGTTTCCCATGGTGTTTGAGCATCCGTTGACTCATGATTTCAACTATGAAACTAAAACATCTACTATACATTCTCAATACTAAACCTCTAGTTCTATATGAGTCGTGCTTTAAAATTGTTCTACATTTTGCAAAATATTTTTGTCAGTTATTTATAACACAGGCAAACTCATTCAAACTATTAACAATGACTAATTCTGTGTTATTGTCAGGATTATGAGCAGATGAAGAGGATTCAAGAAAAAGCTGAAATGAAAATGTATTATTCAGCTACAATGGTTATTCCCATTCTTCACTAACTTCATTAAATGAATAACTGTATAGATTGTTGTCAATAACATAAATCGTTAATATGATTACATATTGTTAGATAATGCATTAATTCAATCGGATAATTTGTTGCGTACATTACTCTATTTACTTAATAGCAGTGAACTAGACCACTTTTGTGATATTTTCGAGTTGTTCCTTCGATGATTTCGATGAACTTTTACCAATGAAGATTCTTTAAAGAAATTTTCCTGATCGACGGTCAATGTTTGTCTACTTTTGAACAATAAATTCTGAGTGTATGATATGATAGATGCGTTATCTGGTATATTCTAGAAAAGTGAAGATAAATAGTTCCTAGTTTCAAATAAAAACACATTCTTATCAATCTATTTAACAAACAACTTCGTTTAAATCGAAGATTATCTGGTTTTTATTATAAACTATATTACACAGATTTCATGATACAACTTTATTAGAACTAGTAATGTGGAAAAAAGAGCGATCCTTGGAAAAATCAAATGGATCGGTTTAAGTTGAACATTAACACCGTTGGATGCCGGCTCAGTGGTTTAGTGGTTAAGCGCTCGCGCGCGAGATTGATAAGTCCTAGGTTCGAATCTCGCGAGGCGTGATCGTGGATGCGCACTGTTGTGGGGTCCAACAGTAGGACGAAACGGCCGTCCAGTGCTTCCAGGTTTTCCATGGTGGTTAAACTTCAATTAACTCATGATCTCAACTGTATAAAAATACAAACATCTTGTTTTAATTTGTTTCCAGCCAAATCAATATTCCTAAGATACATTCATACTTTCTATTATCTTCATCTAATTGTAACTTCAAAGTTTTGTAACAACCGTTTCAATTTTTAGAAAAATGTTTATGTAAACGAGAGATAAGAAAAATGTTAAACAGGTAACGTTGGAATGTTTTGTTCCTACAAAGTAAATACGTCTATCGAAAACAGAAAATAATGAATTTACACAGTATGTATGATTTTTTTGGTGAATAGACTGAATTGACTTATAAGCTATATGTTAATAAATACGTAGGACAAACATCTAAAAAGAACATTAAATGTCTATTCCATTTTTCATCTTACTAATAAAACATGTTAGATTCTAATCTAAGCTACTTTTGTGGTGTATGCTACTTATATCAATATATATAAGTAGTATCTAACACAAATCGGAAGTGGAGTACATGGTAGCAGAAAAGTACGGAAATCGAGTTAAAGGAAACAGGAAAGGAAATAGAGAAGAATTGTGAACCGTAAGGATCATACAGCATGTGAACGACAGTTAATAGAAGATTTGCTAATGAATTATTTGATGTATAGTGTCAAACAATTAAATGGTTTTCCTCCCATGAGTCTTCGTTTATTGTATTTTCAGTTTGTGCATAATATTTAAAAAGAAAATAAATTCTAAACAGGAATTGGTTGTTAACTTTTTACTCTAACGCCAAATGGAATTGATATTTAGTTTCTGGTTTACAAACCCTGTTTTCAAAAAATTAAAATAATAGAAAAGATCTCAAAATTGATTAATCATTTCTTTGAAGCCAACAATCCTTAGGTCATATTCAGGTCATGAAATATATTCAAGTTCATGATGGAAAGTATAGACACAGTTGCTTAGCAATTTGTAATGTATAGATATTCTAACTTTATTCGTGTTTTATCAGTTGAACTCTAAAATGAAATATAATTTAAAATTATTTATTAGTTAAGATAAGATTATCATATGTTTTAAATTTTAAAAAAACATGAATTATAACAGTTGAATTCATGAGACAGTCTAGGCTACACCGCCAATTGATAACCTGGGAGTAATGGACGACCGCTTCGTACTAATATGAGACACCTCAATATTATGCAACCACAATCCTGGATGCTGGGCTCGAACCCATGACATTCGGTTTCTCACACAAACGCTTGAACTCTGACCACTAAGCCGGCATCCAACGGTAATAATGTCAAAGTTCAATCGACCCATGAGATTATGCAGTCCTTAATCTGTTGTATGAGGTTGATTACTGTCTCACAACCGATATGAATTGAACTTTTCTGGTCACGTCTTCTCACTAGAACACCAACAGTTCCATCTTGAAACCAGACGCAAACCATCATTCTGAAAACCATGAATTAGTGTTTTTGATATTTAGAAGTACAATTGATCAGTCTTTTATTGCCATATGTGCATACTGTGCAGATTGCCTCGACATCACCTCAGTCATAGGCATTTTAAACAGAAGTGGATAGTGGCTAGTAGTGGATTCCATGACGCGCGTTTCATACTATTTCGGACAAATTGATGTCCACTCTGGAACTTGAACTCAGTACCGTTTGCTTCAAACGTCACCGAGTTACTGAGTCCTTACATTGAAGATGCACATATGCCAACAGTCCTAAACAACAATACGAAGATACAAGAAAACAATACCAAGTAATGTACCATGCTTTTTCGCATGGACTAATTTAACAGTAAATTTTGAAATGTGTGAAGTATTGAATTGAAAAATACTTTAACCATATTGATTATTTTGAATACCTTCATACAATTATGTCACAGTTTTATTCAGCATCTACATATATGTGTATTTTAACATATACATTACATATAAACTCATTTCACATCGAAAGTCTCTTACACACTCATACATATACCTAGTTTAGACATTTTTAACGCTGATTGGATTACCTATTCAGTATACAATGAACCAGAGAACTATGTACCTATTTATATTCGTTAATTTTGATGTTTGAATATATTTCGTTGAAAAAGTTTGGACTACATTGTCAGGCGAAACTTTAAATTTACTTTAAATTCATTCGCTAAAATTTTACAAATATATTATTTCTATTTAATGTCTTACATCTACTCGGCGCCCAAATACTCTTATTTAGTCGAAAGTTATTATATGTATAAACTCTTATGTTAAACAAAATGTCACATTAAAAAAATATTTATAAACAATACTAAAGATTACTATTCAGATTCTTATTGGTTAATTGTATTATCCAATAAGAATTAAGCATCCCTATTTGTCTTTTATTTGTTATCTTTTTTAAATAACAATGTAATCTTTACAAAAAATGAGTTGAACATTCCATTATACAACTTGGAATCTATCTATCTATATTTGTATATTTAGTTACCTTTTGTATACCTCAACTCATTATTACATATATCTCCTTAGAAATATTAAAAAAAAATGGCACATCTATATTATGAGCAATATAACTATGATTGCTCATTAATTCCATTAATATGAATAATAATCTTATAAAGTATGTTCAAAATTTAATGAATTACACCTTATGCAATCATCTATATTTTTATTATTTTATTTATTTTTCATATTTATTATAATAACTTACATAGAAACAATGAATCATTCAATAAAACAAATTACATTTTATATTAAAGAACATCCAAATATGAATACATTCATAGGGAATATATTTCAATCTAATCAATTAATCAATAATAATCATAATAATATAATACGTAGTATCCGATTAGAAACAATCAATTTAAAATGGTCAAAATGTTTTCGTATTGATCATTTAACTGGTAATTTATATACAACTATGGAAGCAAAATCATTATTAGATAATGAAAAAATTTGTATTAAAAATAAAAATTCTAAAATTATTATTAATAATCAATTAAATAATAATAATAATAGTAATAATAATAATATTATTATACATTATTGTTCTATTGATTTATTGATTACTATTAATAATCGATTATTAATATCAATTATTATACAAATTGAAGATATTAATGATAATTCACCAATCTTTTTAAATGATAATAATAATAATAATACAGAGATTATTTATATTAATGAAACTGTTATACCGGAATATACTAAAATTCCATTGAAACCAGCATATGATCCTGATTTTGGCGGTTATAATAAATTATATTATTATTTAACCCCTATTATAAATACTAAACAAAATGTACAATCATTCAATGATTCAATAAATATTAATAATCCATTTCGTTTAGATGTTAATCACCATGGTGATAATGATAATGATGATGTAATAAGAAATTTAAATGAATTACATAATTCTAAGAATTTAAATCTTATTTTAATTCAATCATTAGATTATGAAATACAAACAGAATATCAATATAATTTAACTGTATGTGATAATTCATTAAAACAATTTAATATTCAATTAATAATTATTCATTGTACATGGAAATTATTACAAATTTATGTGAATAATATAAATGATGAGTTACCATGGTTTCAACAAACAAATTATTCAATTATTATTAAAGAAACATTTCTAATTCATAATGAAATATTAAAAGTTAAAGCAATAGATAATGATTCTATACCATATAATCGTATATATTATCGTATAATACCTAATCATGATATAATGATATTTAATAATAATGATAATAATAATAATAATAATTTATTTTATATTGATTCTAATACAGGTATTATAAAACTTGGTAAATCAATAAAAAAACCTGGTATTTATCGATTTCTTGTAGAAGCTATTGATATAGATAATATATATAATAATAATAATAATAATGATTATTTATTATCAAGTACATCTACATTAGTTAATTATCCATATAATAAAAATCATTCATATATACATCGTCAAAATATTGCACATGTACATATACAAATTATTGATGTAAATAATCATGCTCCTAGTATACAACTTCAACAAACTCAAGATACATTAATATACTACTTAAATAATAATATTCAATATACTATAAATAATTCACAATTAATTATATTAAAAATTTCTGAATCATTATCTATGAATACACCTATAGCTTATTTTAAAATAACTGATGAAGATGAATTACAAAATGCTAATATAACATGTCATTTGATTCGATCAAATTATAATGATCCTTTTATTTATACTTATAATAATGATCCAGATCCAATATATAATGAATTAGATCAATTTCAATTATTATTTGTTAATCGTATTAGTGATAATACAATAATCAATAAATTAATTTTAACACAAAAATTAGATGCAGAAAATTTATCAAAAAATTTATTAATTAATAATAAAATTCAATTAAAATATTCATTAAATTCTATAGCAGGTTATTATGGTTTCTTAATTAGTTGCCATGACTATGGTATACCACAATTAACAACATCAATACCAATTATGATAATGATTATTGATATTGATGAATATTATTCAAATATTCAATTAATCAATACATCATTATGTATAACATGGCAACTAAAATATTCAATTAATCATTCATATATTTATGATATAATCATACAAGAGAATATACCAATTCATTCACATATTTTAACATTATATGCAATTGATAAAGATATTACATCTAAATTACAATTTATTCAACAAGATAAAACAAAATTATCTATACCATTTATTATTGATCAATATAATGGAATGATAAGTACTACTGATATTATTGATTATGAATATAATCATAATTATCAAATGTATATTAGTATCTATGATATAAATCATTCAGAACAATCCTTAGTAACAACAATATTGATTAATATTATGATTGAAGATTTAAATGATAATTCACCAGAATTTATAATATCATCAGTAAATGATGTACAATTTGATGGAGATTCTATATTGGAACCAATTACTACTACTACTATTACTACTAATAATAATAATATGAATGGATTAAGAATCATTGAATTAGAAGAGGAAATAATACATACACAACCAATAGGTAATGTGAAAGCATTAGATCGTGATACAGGTAAAAATGCAGAAATTATTTATTTCATTGCTGAAATTTCATATCAAATAGATAATACTCATAATGATATTGTGTATTCAGCTATCAATCGAACAAAAGAAATAAAACCAATGTTGAATACATCTAAATTATTGATTGATTCAGATGGTGCTATATGGTGTGAAGGAAAAATCGATAGAGAATTAACACCTATTATTGATTTAGTGATTGGTGCACATGATCTTGGTGAACCTAAATTAACATCATATACAAAAATTCGAATATTAATTAAAGATATAAATGATAATAATCCAGAATGGCAATTTCCAACAAAAAATGATTTTTTAGTATCTATACCAAAATCTTTATCCGTTGGTAAAGTAGTTACACGAATTCGAGCTACGGACAAAGATGAATTATTAAAAAATGGTTATGTCACCTATTACATTTTTACTCCAAACCATAATATAACACAAAAGTCTCAATTTGACTTCATCTCACATAATATCATTACACAATTTTTTACATTAGATTTTAATACAGGTGAATTAACTGTGAAACATTCATTAATTCGATTACCAGATGGATTTCTTGATATTTGGTTAAAAGCAGAAGATAATGGAAAAGTTCCAAGATATTCAATTGCAAAATTAGTACTATACTTAACTACTCCTACTTCTACTAATACTAATAATAATAACTTTTTAAATCTTGATAGTCCACAGAAATTAATGATGTATTATGAAGAGAATAAAAACACTAAAGATATTACTTCACAAATACATTCCATGGGAAATTTACATGAAATTCTCCCAATTAAAATGAATCTCAATTCAAACGGTGTGTACTTCACTGAAACACCAGGATATAGGAAAAATTTTAGGACATTATCATTATTAATTAGTGGTTCAATTGTTGGTATAATAGTTATTATTATATTCCTAATATTATTTGTAATTTGTTTCAAATATAACTCTCATAATCCTAATCCTAATAATGTAAAATGTGACTCAATTACACCAATCAATACAATGGAGTGTAGTAATAACTTACCAATGAAATTATTCAATAATAATTACCATAAAGATAATACATATCAACATTGTAAAGATTTTAATATCAATGGTGAAACACCAACTACCTCAAATGTAAATCTAATGAATCATACAAACTATGAACAAATCAAATATAATAATAATCAAATAGAGAAAAAATTAGAAACACATGAAGATCTAAATGAAATGAATCGATCCAGTGTTACATCATTATCCGTTGATGATACTACTATTCAAACATATATACCAATGAATTTAATGACAAATTGTAATGAATTACATTATTCACCAATTACTTCAGTAATTGATTTATCAGATAAAATTCCTATACGTTTATTACATGTTTCAAATGATACTTTTGCTGTACCATTATGTATGACACATGATATCCCTACTACTAATAATGTTAATAATTATTATCATAATCATCATAATACTACTTATACTACTACTACTACTGAACATGATAATAATAATAATAATAATGAACTGACAACACATCCACTTACAATTGTTGCTACAGTTGTATCAACCGATAATATTAAACAAGGTCTATTACCAATTTTAACAGAAGAAACAAATAATAATGTAGTTGATATGACAAATAATAAACTATATGATAGTGATACTTTTATAAAATTAGAAAATTTAACACATTCCGAAGGATATTACACAACGTACACTCCATGTTTGTTTACTACAACTGAAAATGCTTCATGAACTATGAATACATTTGATTCAATACTGGCATATATATATATATATACATATTTGTACAAATTAAAACCTAGTCCCAGTAACTACCGATTTTTACTCAACTAGACATTTTTTTATAAAAAAAATAACAAAAATTGTTTGTATGTTAATGTATATGTATCTCCTGGGGGTGGGTGTGGGAGGGGGAGGGAGAGGGAGAGGGGGAGATAAAATTTGTACAAAATATCTATAAGGTGAGCAAATTGTTCTCTGTGTATTTTGTAATTTTTAAAGAAAAAAAATAATAATATAGTATTATTTGATGAAACATTTTTGTAGTTTTGTTTTTTTTTTGCTTGTCAAAACCGTTTATTTCAATTTATCAAATAATGTCTGTTTATGAGTTTAAACGAAAAAAGAAAGAAAAGAAATTTAAATCAATCATTGAGTTATAGGTGAGAAGTGTTATTTAAAAATTTAAATTTTATATAGTTAAGATCATAAGTCAATTGAAGTTAGACCACCATGGAAAACCTGGGAACACTAGACGGTCGTTCCGTCCTATTGTGGGACTCCTCAGCAGTATGCATCCACGATCCTGCACTCACTAGATTCTATCCTAGGACTTACTAGTCTCGTGCCAGAGCACTTGACCGATAGACCACTAAGTCGGCCGGCATCCAGCGGGGTGAATGTTTAACCTAAACTAATCCATGATATTGCTCGACCAACTTCCATTATACTGAGGTAGATTTTTGTTTCTACCTGACATGGATTATCTCCACAGTCCATGACTTCTCACTAGAACTTTAAGAATTAACTCATGGAGCCAGTCACTAGTGAGCATATGATCATTATCTCAAGAGGGTTTTTGTGGAGATTTTAGTAATTAACCATATAAAATTACTAAAATCTCCACAAAACCCCCCTTGTGATAAAAATTTAAAGTTGAACAACTGACTACTGAATACTCAGTAATATATGATTTCAATGAAGTAAAGCACTGAATGTATATGAGTCGTTCATGCAGAGTATTTATTTGGATGATATAAAGGTAATATTACTGCTGAAAAGTCCTATACTATGGCCAAACTGGCCGCCTAGTGCCTCCACGTTTCCCATGATAGTCTAGCTTCAATTGCTTCATGAATTCAACTAGTGAATTACCAAAATCTTCATAAAACCCCTCTCTGCCAGTTGATGCAAAGTGAATACGATAGAAAGAAAGAGGTGTTCCACATAATTCAAAAATGTTTTTTTCTAGTTATTGGGGATATATTTGTCTATTATCTATTAGCTACCTAAAATTTAAGAATAAATCAATCAGTTTAGCAGTCATCTGAATGACATTTCTTGGACCATGCATAATAAGAAGAACATACAGAACACTTTGTAAATTAATATCTCAAGACGTTCTGGTAGACAAACCATAAACATGGATCATAAATTTCTGTGTCATGTTATTTAGTAATAATTAAACAGGTGAATGGCAGTTTCTACATACTAAGTGAAAGAAGCAGTTATTCATTGTATTAAAACGATTAATATATGGAAACTATTTCCTCAGATTTTCATAACGACATGAACTATTAAAAAATGTATATCAATATTAGTAAGAATCTGTTGATTATCTCAAATGAATTTTGATCAACCTTTGTTGATGTTTATACATCCTATGAAGATTGTTCTCGTATAGTCTTATTGTACTAGTTTTTATATAGAATAAATAGACTTATAGTTAACAGGGAAATTGAGGATTGAAATTTCTTTCTACTTGGATTGCATGAAAGTTTGATTAGGACTCAGGAAAAGGAAGACATGATATTTTTTATTGGTCTTTAAGCAGAAAGTATCCTAAATGATAAAGTTTCGCGCTATTCGCTAACACCTATCATCTATAAATTCACTTAGTATTATTTGTTTGAATCTTCCCATCGATGTGTTAGGATTGCAACTGGTCAGTCTCTAATTGGCATATGTGCATACTGTGCTTATTGCCTCGATATAGCCTTGATTCACAAGCAAAGATGCCACCCACTGCTAGCCACTATCCATCTTACCTATCATCTATGTTTCACGTCTTCAGTTACAAAAATCTGCCGCGGTTATATACTTGTTTTTTTAATTAAATAAGTATTTTCAAAGATCTCTTATATAACTCAAATAAAACCATCAGTAAATATCATTTTTGAAATATTCGGTAAATGTATGATTATTTGTTTTTCTGTTTTCGCTTAGCGTTTATCACACCTTAAGTTTCGTACTGTTTGATATAGATGATTAAACTATATAGCATTCACTGTCGTTCTGGACAGTAACATCAGAGCTTATTTCATTCAGAAGTCATATTTTCAGTTATTGCACAAGGGTTAAATTAACATTCTTTTGTCGGTTTTATGGTTGGTTATCTTGGTAGATTTCAGTTTTTATTTACTTTATACTAAAGTTCAGTATGTTGTTCTGCATACATCTTATCATGTCGTTCAGTGTTGTTTACTCGTTGAGTTTATAGATTGGGTTCATCTGGTCGTGTCTACATCATTCTACATCATTCTTAAAATTCCCTTGATCCACAATCTTAAAGTTTTCCTAGTCAACTTAATTTCTGTAGTTATTTGTATGTATCAATGTCAGCAAGAAACACACCTAGTCGTGTCAATGATTGTTTTTGTGTATGAAAGTGTGCAACACGTTCACTTGGCCAATATAGTGTTTATTGCAGATTTGAATTACTAGGGATGATTTCTAAAATATTTTTATAGATGTTAGAATTATCCCTTTTTCATATTATGATTTAGAGATACATGGTTTAGTTAGGTACATGTTAATGAAGTTAAAGTTACTTATTTAAATTCCACGAAATTCCATATTATTCATTCTTTCATTTAACTGTTTTTCAGTAAATTTGTAACTCTATTATGTTTAAAGAGTTTTGTCTTGCAAATATTCGCAAGTCAAAATATCTAGTAGTTTACGACACAGACTGACTCTAGTTAGATAACCATTAAAAACCTAAAAAGCTATTGTATTCAAGTATCGGACTCCTAAGCGCTGAGAATGCACGACTTTACTATGGATAAAATCCTGACATTCAGCTATCAGAACGAGCAGTCAATCTTTACATTGGTCAATAAACATCTAACATTTTAGATTTTCAACTTTCATCTATTCTTTATACTACACAACCATCTTCCAACATCATCGATCATGACTTCTCACTAAACACTTTAGGTTATATTCTCGATAGGCTTATGCATGTGTATTACTCAAAAATTTCGTATCTAGACAGAACAATCCTCTTATCCTTTACGGTCTTTAATGGTTGTTCACCCAAATTCAATTCTTTGTGTAAACAATATTTTAATTTATAATTTCTACGATAGATACAAAATTATAAAATAAACGTATCACAATATATTTGAAAAAAAAGGTTCAAATGTAAACATATATCAATTAAAGAAGACCTAAAGACAAAATTGAAAAGAAGAAGAAGAAGCAAGTGAAAAGAAGGAGACACTAGTAGATTGAATTTAGTCCTAAAGAAGAACCTTTTTTTCTTAAAAATTACATTTGTGAAGACGTTTCGTACTGAATCGTATTGAAACTATTAAAATTTGATCTGTTTCAAATAGTTTATAAACCGTTCAATCTACAATAAGTAACCATTGGGTTTGAACTAGTTAAAATTTATGTTATCAAAAACCACTATTATTCTTGGATAAGTCTGTGTTCGTTTTGGTTTATACTGTTGTAGTAAACGAGAATACAAGTGGGGACTAACGTATGTATTTAAACGCAAGAGTACAGAACATCTTAGTCAAATCTGAGAACCACCCAATAAATAAGTTATTTGCAAAATGTCAACCAGTTGTCTCAATCATGACTGTTCCTTTCGCGAATATCAAGCAATCGTCTTAAACTTCATTGCTGTTTTCGTTCTCTTTTCTTTGATTTTCTCAACATTCTACCTCAAAGCATATCACTTTCGATTGATGTTATATACTACTTATATCTGTCAACATCAGTAGCACAAACACATTGTAATACTCTCAGATATATTCACATTGGAGATAAGAACCCCTATTACATAGGTTTGTAGAGGTTTTCATTTTTGATATATTGATAAAATAATTATATACGTGAACCTGATTATTAACTTTCATAGTTCTATGGAATGCTAACAACTTTTTGTTATGGTCTGATATTAAAATCTTAATTAGATAATATGACAAAGTACGCGATGCTTGCTTGGTAACTCATGTTTTAAATGTGAGCTGTGTGCTACTTTTGCAGAAAGACATAAGTAGCATGTAACACCAATTAGAAGTGGAATCCTTTTCCGAAGGAGGTTGTGAAGAGTGTACTAAAAATAAACAGAAATGAAAACATAAAGGAATGGGGAATTGGAAGGATCATAAAGGGTGTAGAAGAAAAATTATGGAAAATTTGTAAATGAAGTATTTTATGTATAATTTTCACATTTTACTAAACAACTTTGAATTTGTGCATTAAATAATAAGTTGGTATTCTCCACTTGAATGTTTATTCACTACAAATATCCTAGCAGTAGAACTAGTTAACAAAGTTTTTAACTAACGACTATCAAACCACTAACATGAATAAGAATGTCATCAAGAATAGTAAGGTTATATATTGTGTTATATCTAAACTATTAAGTTATGATCCGGTGGTTAACATTTCCAACTTACGTACAGTTTTGGTTATGAAGTGTTTCTGAAAGTGTTCATTGAGTTAGATAAGATATATTACTAGTTGATTTGATATTGAATAAATAATCATTTATACAAAAGCAGATCAATCTTATAATACAATCAATCCTTGACTAAAAAGTTATGTAAAGATATACAAATATCAAGATACATTTGAAATTACATTGTTATCATCAACTATATACTTATTCCCTGAGGTTATATAATTTTACAATATCATATAGCTTCTTCTTCACATTTTCAATGTAAACACTTTTTGTAATATTTCGTGGTGATTATAAATAAAGGATTTACAACTTAATAAGCTAAAAGTATATTGAATATCTGTTCTGTATTAGGATTTAGGAAGTGAGTTCCACCCTGTGTAGGTTTTATTGATTGGATATATTTTCATCTATGTGTTGATGTTATTATGGATGTTCACAAAGATTATAAACGTATAATATTGAACAGAATTGATACTGGTTAGCA